CCCAGAAACCTGGGTGTTCAAGTGTGTGTGTGTGTGTGTGGGGGCTGAGGTTTCACGACGTGCGCCGCGATGCCCGAGACCGAGGTTTCTCCCTTTACCATGCAGCGGACTTTTGCCTCATGGTCTCTCGAGAAGAGCCGTTCGGCTACGTGGACGTGGAGTTCGCTTGGGGCGGTGCCTTGACCATCGGCACGCTCTGCGGCGGCCTTGGCAAAGTCCCTGGCATTTACTTCATGCCCAGGAATGTGGAGTCCCTTCAAGCCGTTCGCGATTGCTTCAAGGCAGCCGTAAAGTCAGCGATGGACATGCCTCCGCGCGACTTCCAAGCACTATCGGCAGAGGCTACTCTGAGCACCTTCTCCGAAGATGATTGGAGGATGGGCTGTTGTCGTCGAAAGTGCCTTTTTTGAAGTCTCCGCTCCCGTCTTCATCCGGTTTTTCTAAGAGGTTGTCGTGCCGTTTGTTATCGGCGTGAAAGGGAAACTTGGATCGTTAAGCCCTTGGACGTTGGGGCCTGAAGCGGTGTACAGGGTTTCCAGGGCTTGAGTTGTAGGCTGTTGGCTTTGGGTTGGGGGCCATGTGCTTTCGCTGTTGGAGGAGAGAGCTGCTGCGGCTGTACCACGGCACCCAGATCGCCCTGCATCGTGACCTGCGCACGGACCTGAACAGAGTCGTCGAAACGGAGAACGCAGGCTCGCCCGTGCATCTTGGACGTTGAAGGTGGTTTGAAGAAAGCCTTGTAAGTTTCCCAATCATCACTCGGAAGCATTTTGAAGAACCAGCAGGAACCCTTTTGGTGTCACGGTGTCACATTTACAGTGCTGGTTCCAGCGGTAGTGGCGGGAACCCTTCGTTTTTCTCAGGTTTGAAGCGGACATCCCCGTCGAGGAGATTGTCCAGAGTATCCTGACGCGTGTCACGGTGCAGCCAAATCAGGAGTTCGTGAAGCCGTCCAGCTGTCCCGACACCTTGGCAGACGTGGTTTGGGAGCACAGCCTTCGGGGTGAATCCAGCTGGTTCAGCCATCTTCTCAACCAGAGGTTTCTGCACACCCAGATCATTGACTGGGTCTTGGTCCTGAACTACATCCTCACGCCTTTGCTGTCACTTTGGTGCGCTATGCCCGACCACAGTAAATGCAGTCAACCGGCCAGCTGGATCGTGGACGCCGACGCTACCCGCGAGAAATGCAGGCGTGGATCGTTGTAGGCATTTTTTCAAAGTGGCATCCCGAAGTGCAACAACCCCAAAGCGGCCCCGAAGCGCATCAGCAGACACCTGTTTCATGGTTTTATGTATGGACAGCACAACCACACCTCCGGCGCAAGACCCCAGAGAAGTCTCCCGTGAGAGCCTGGCAGGCGGGAGCACGTCTGGCAGATTGGCGGGCAAGGCCTCTACATCATCTCCAGCTTCTTCTGGGTCTTCCTGTCAACCAAGGCCTCCCATGTCATTCCTTTTGTCAGAGAGGTATGGGGCCGAGTTCGGAGTTCAGAGAAAAGTTGTTTTTCTTTAAAGCAGGTCCAGCCCTGCAAGATCCTGGCGGTGGTCACCCTCATCCGCTTCGTGATGCTGCTGGCGCCCTTTCTGAGCTACTGGGGTGTCATAGGGGGCAGCCAGTACACGGCCATGATCACACTGGCCCTGGGCTTCATCAAAGGCTCGGATGCCCTGTTCATCTTCTATGGATTCATGAGTGCAGCCGTCGGGGACGTTTGCAAGCTCGCCCTGCGCATGGGCGTGTCGCTTGGGATCCTGTACGGCCTGACCCAGTTCAGCCGCTTCGCTCTCAGCACTGCCGGTCAGCTTCGTGGTGGCCTGGTCGTTTTGGGCCTTCTGGGCGCCGCCTTCAAGCTCTTCCTGGGCTGCTGCCTGTTCTACGCCCCGAAGCCCTACCAAAATTTCACCCTCCCCGGCTTCAGCTTCAGCTGGAAGAGTCACTGGGCCGGCTCTGTTGGAAGCCTGAGTGCTTCGAGTTTTCCGGGTGCCCTCTAGAGTTTGTAAAGATGTAAAGAAGGGTCCTCCAGGGCGGGGTGTGCTAGCGGGGCACGACGTCCTGCCGGCACTATAATTGGGAGAGTATCTCCACACATATGCTTCTTGCTGAAGCAAGGACGAAGCTTGATCTTCTTGGCCCTCGGATGGGCCATCAGTGGTGCGACCAATACTGCCATGGACAGGGCTGATGCTGCGATCGTCCAGTCCCTAACGCTGGATCGCAAGGAGCTCTCCTGGGTCGTCCGAGGGGCGCCCTACTTCATGACCTGGGTTGCCATGTTCTTCAGCCTGATCCTCTACAGGTTCCCCAGCGCGTCGCCGCGCTTGGTGAAGACCTGTACGTTCTTCCTGATCCCACCTGGCTTCATCAGGGCTGCAGTGCTCTGGGGTGTGCAGGTGCAGGACCTCGACACGCCTCTGCTCGACACGCCTCTGAGCAGGAGCCTCGTGGTTTGTTTGGTGGTGTCCCTGGTCATCCAGATGGTGCAGAGCATCTCCATGTTCATCGTCATTCTTTCCACCGTGCAAAGCCGCTGGCGCTTCATCGTCTTCATGACCATCTGTACTCCAGGCGCCGCCACGCTGCGAGCTCTGTACATGTACCTGGACGTGACGGACCGGCTACCTTCCGTTCAGCTTTGTCTCATAGCCTGCTCTGCCGCCCAGTGGCTGGCCACAGTTTTTGCCAGCGTTTTCTTCGACGCAGAGTCCTCGGCCTTGGTGACTCGCAGCAAGAAGGAGCTGGTGAGGCGGAACACGGAGTCCTACAGTGGCAGAATAGCACAGCTTCGCGAACTCCATCAGGCTCAGATGGTGGAGAGAAGTGATGGACAGGCTCGACCTCGAGCTGCAAGAGTTGACACTTCGGCGCACGATGGCATCCGAGGGATGTGCTGCATTTGGGTCATCCTCTTCCACCTGATGGCAGGGCGGATACAATTTTTCCATAACTATCAAATCTCCATCGACCTCCAGGGCTGTGCCATCATGCCCATCTTCTTCCTCCTGTCGGGCTTCGTTTTGGTTATGGTTTACGGGCAGAAGCGCTACTTGCTCAGCGGCCACCACAACGAGCCCGGGGCCGTAGACTTCCCCTACAAGGAGTTCTTCAGCAAGCGCGTGGCAAGGCTTCTTCCGGCCTACTACCTCACCACCTTCTTGGCCGTCCCTTTGATTTGGCTGGGCTTCGGGCCCTTCGCCTGGGCGGACACACGGACCCTCGTCGGCTCTGTGGTCAGCAACATTCTTTGTCTGACCACACTCTTCAACTGCCAGCTACCGCCCTGGCCATACGGCTGTCAGTGGGAACAGACCTTTAATCAGACAGTCAACGGCACCAACGGCACCGGCACCCAGCTTCCCCCCTTATGCAACAAGGAGGAAAGGGGCCTGCCGATAGGCCTCAAGAACATCAACGGGCCCTCCTGGACCGTTTGCACCCTGGTTTGGTTCTACCTGGCCTTCCCCTTCTTGTTGAAGTACATTCAGCGTTTCAACAACATGCAGCTCTTCATCTTGATTCGAATCTGCTACTGGGTGCAACTCTTGGTGTCGATTGCTCTCTTCCTGGTCTACACGGCCATAGAGTATGGGGGCTTCGGACAGCTCCGGTACTGGAACATAGCTCCAGGCGAGCTGGCCTTCACCGTCGCGACGCAGAACCCCATCTTCCGGGTCCCCGTCTTCATCATGGGCATCTGCGCCGGGCTCCTGTGCAACCGCCACGCAGCGGATCCTGGCCTGGTATGGTCCGGGCGCTTCTTCTACTTCTTCCCCGGTAAAGAGCTCCCAGACACGGAGAGGCACAAAACGCTCCCGGAAGACGAGCAGAGGCAGAGAGTTCACGGGGTGGAACTTCCCCTTGTCTTAGCCCTCTAATTCTGTCCCTGTCCAGGTACGGTCGCTACGGTCGGCTGTGGTGGGCACGCATCGTGGATCGCACTTGTTTGTTGCTCGCCGTGGCCTTCGTGTTGGAGATCATTGCAGACTGCATCGTCTCAAGCATCATCGAAAGAGATTGGTCGGCTTCGAAAAGAGTCCCAGATCCAAATCATCCAGGGAAATGGATTTGGAAACTACCGGGACCAGATCATCATGTGCAAGGTCTGGGGGGTGCTCTTTGGTTCCAGGCCATTTTGCCCTACGCCTTCCTCACTGTGGTGGTGGGCCTCACCAGGTCGGGCACGGATTCCAGGGCGTACCGCTTCTTCAGCAGCAAGAAGATGAAGAGGCTTGGGGCCTTCTCCTTTAGCGTCTACCTGGTGCACTTCCCCTTGTTGGAGTACTTCAACTACCTCATCCTCGGCCACCAACCCGCCGGCGCGCCGCTCCACAACTGGGGCGCGGACGAGCCCATCCCGTGGTGGGGGGCCATCCTCGTCTTCCTGGGCGCGCTGCTCCTGGGCAGCCTAACCTACTACTACTTCGAGGAGCCTCTGCGGAGGTGCCTCAATGGAGAGAGACAAAACAGGCCAGCCGCAGGAGCCGCAGGAGCCGCAGGAGGGGATGGAGTCCCATCTTTTCAACTGGCCCAGGCACGCCCCGCTTGAAGCCATGCGAGAGGGAACTGCACCAGCAATAGTAGGAAACACCGGAGGTGCCTTCTATCTGGATTTTAAGTGAGACTCAGGTGTCTTGAGGTTCAGGATCTGAGGCTTGTTTGTAAGGATTCTGGTTTAGGTCTTGTTGTCAGAATTGGAGAGTCGGTTTTCGGCCCGACTCATGATATCAGCCAGTCTCGACTTGTCTCGTCATGGGGACCAGCAGTATACCTGAACCCCACATCCTAAACTCTAAACTCTTGGCTGCCACCAGGCGCGCCGGGAGCCCGCCGTGTCGAGCCCGTCGCGGTGACGGGTTCTACGGTGGGTCGCATGGCCCGGGCCCTGAGACGTGCAGCAGCCAGAATTATAACAAGGAACACCCAAAATAGCATATATATATATATATATATATATATAGGTATAATCATTAAGGCCGATATATATTATGGGAAGTTAAGGTTTAGCACCAGGTCCGCGTCCAAGCTGCAAGAAGGGCACCTCCCAGAGCCAAGAGCCAGTTTAATCCTGGCGAAACCTCATCAGGATGCATGTCACAAGCCGCAACAGCAGTGCCGCCTTGCGATGTTGCTGCTTCGGCGCCAGTCGGATCCTCTGAGACCGCGCAGAGCTGCGCGTCTGCCGTCCGGGGCTGGTGGTTGTGTGAACGTACCATCTGCAATTATTGACCATGTCGTTCTCGGATCCCTCGAAGGCCTTGGCGCGGGCCGCGGAGCCTTTGACTTTAACGGGGTCGCAGCAGCGTCCACTTTTTCGGGCTAGCGTTGACGGCGTGGGGTTTGAATCGACGTAGTTCCGAACACCCTTTAGCCCTACGCAGAAACTAGTTTTCTACCTACCATGCCAGAAGGTCGACAACGCACGTGCGCGACGCCATACAGCATTTCAGGTTCAAAGCATCTGGGCGATCAGTATCCCACATATCTCCAGCACACATGGCCACGTGGGTTTACAACTTCGGTGATGGCCAGGAGCCGTGGCATGCTTGATGGCTTTCGCGCGTTCATGAGTCCATGCCGTGACATCGCAGTGTGCATGCGTCTGTGCAGGCCGACGGCCGAGCCGAGATGAAGAACTTGCTAGGCGGCAAGGGTGCCAACCTTGCGGAACCTCTGCAGTCCCATTTAGATTCAGGGCCGTGACTCTCAGTCGTGTGTAAGCTGCAGATTTGGGAAGAATCGTTCACGCTTCCATGTGCGCTTGAGGAAATGGCTTCCATCGGCCTGCCGGTGCCTCCCGGGTTTACGCTCACGACGGAGATCTGTACCCACTTCTATCAGAATGATTGCAACTATCCCAAGGAGCTCAACAAGCAGGTGCCGCTAGAATAGGAGTGCTGAATCACACGCCTGCTGCTGGTTCCACTGGCATTCTCTGCCCCACATTCTCAGCCGAGTCCATGCGCCTTTAACCATGTGCAAGGTCGAGGAGGCACTGGCTTTGGTCCAGAAGCGCACCGGCCGTGTCTTTGGCGACTCCACCAACCCACTTCTGGTCTCTGTCCGCTCTGGGGCGCGCGCGTCCATGCCAGGACGAGTTCTCTGCAAATCCTCAGTCACCGTAAGCGTGTCTGCGTGCAAGACAGCTTGTGTCGAAGCTCCATGGTACAACATGCCGCCCACCTTCTGTGTTGATGTTTGGCGTGATCCACCTTGCTTTCTCCGGCCCTGTGAGGAATGATGGATACCGTGCTCAATCTGGGCCTGAACGATCAGACCGTGGAAGCTTTGGCGAAGAAATCTGGTGACCGGCGCTTTGCCTTCGATAGCTCCTGAGCTTTTGTTCAGTGCCGACGTGCTCTTTCGACTCTAGCCGCTTTCGAACTCATCAACTCATCCAAACTGCGTAAGCTGTGCATGTGCAAGTACCCTGGTCGTGAAGAACCTTGGAGGTTACAGGCGCTTCGTGCAGATGTACTCCGACGTGGTCTTGGGCATCGAGATCAGCCACTTTGAGAAGCATTTGGAGCGTGCGAAGGAGAAGCGCGGTGTGAAGCAGGACGGAATGTCTTTAAGACGGATCCGAAAGCAACACCACGTTTCTCATTGTCATACTTTAATGGTATCTACCATCACCCGGACGGATGGTTTGAAATATTCCTCCCCCCACAGCTCAGAAGGCAAGCTTTCCGTAGAGGACTGTGAGCTTCTCGCTGAAGACTTGGAGAAGTTGGTCAAATCGCATCTGAACCGGACATTAGAGGGATTTTGATTTCTGATAGGGGCTGTCGCGTCGTGTTGTGGGTATTGGGGGATATTGGGCGATGTTGTAGGACGTATGCACGGGGTGGGTGAGCATTTCATGGCGGACATGGTTGAGCATTAATCATCAACTTAAACAGGAAACGGTGCCAATGCCAGGCACTAAGCCAGAGAAGAAGCAAGGTACAAAGCTGTGGTGCAGTTGGAGCTGGGCGAGGACTTTCCCGAAGATCCGAAAGCCCAGCTGTGGGGTGCAATTGGTGCTGCTTCTTGGCTTGGGAGTTGAACAGCACATTTAAGTCTGGTGTCCTCGCTCGTTGAACGCAGCGTGCGGGCCTGCAAGGTCTTCAACTCCTGGATGAACCAGCGAGCCAAGACGTACAGGCACTTGTCACATCTTGTCACTTATCATTGTCCGGATTCTTGTAGGGAGGGAGACGAAGGTCCTAGTTCAAATCTTCAGCGTCGATGGCAGGATGGGTTGCGCAGCGATATAGTGTGGGGTGTCGTTTTTGATGATATTACATGATATTGAATGATCCGTTTTGGAGGGGCCGAGTGTGTTTCAGATGGTTGCGTACATCACCGGACTGGAGGTCCCATAAAGGAAAGTGCTGCAACGGAGATTCTTGTCCACCACACATTCTATATAGACACAATAGACTGGTAAGAGCCCCGGAGA